CAAACTGACTAATATAATATAAAATAACTATCTTTTCTGTATACTTTCCCCGGTTCCATTGCTATTGCAGGATTTACACAATCAATCGGAATCACCCGCTTGAAACTCATCCTTTTCATCATAAATGATCCGCTTGCGTCGAAAGGACCTAGACCAATAGGGAAATCCCACCAGTCCATAATTAAATTTGAACCAAACAGTTCTATTACTAAATACCCAAAAATTTGAATTCGATTCCGTTCCCTTTAAAATCGAACCGAATCAGACCGGACTATATCCAGCCCTGATTCAGCCCATAATGACATCATAAATTGTCATAATTTTGCTTCTTCAATCAGCGAATCAAATCAAATCAAATCAAATCAAATCGGACTATATCATGCCCTAATAAGAGCATAAATTTTCACAATTATACTTCTTTAATCATTAAAACTGCTTTTCTTTAATAGCAGCATAAATTCTCCACAATTCTACTTCTCTAGTCATTAAAACTGCTTTTCTTTATCCTTTTTGAAGCAGCCATCTAAGGTTCCACTAATTGGTTTTGCTTTCAAAATTTTGGTACAAGTCAAATTCAAGCGCAACTTGGTATATAGTATTCATCAACTTAAATATCTTATGATGTTAACAACTTAAGTTTTGTCCAGAGTTGAGCTCCATTAATTCTTATTCGCCTTTTAATTGAATTCTTTCGATATTAACGTCAGTTCATCCAGTTAGAATTTAGTCATGTGTAGATTGAAATCATCTCATGAAATCAACATCGAACGACATACTATCATATTTTAACTACGAGCAAAGGGAACTTCCAACTCAATTTAATCAACTTGTATAAACTAATAACTATTGTTCTGTCATGTCAAAATGACTTCATTCTTCAAGTCTACAAGATTTAGGTCATCGAATGCGTAAATTTGCAGCTTTGAAATAAAGCTAGAAATAATGTAGTTGTTTTTTTTCTTTTTTTCCGTGCATACGTGGACGGTGCAAAATGAAAAGAAAAGAAAAGTCAGAGACAAAAGCGTACGAACAAGAAATTAGAGGAGAAGACAAGACAGTATGCATTTATACAAATTTGTTTTGTCCAGTTGGCGATTTGGCTGTTGCTTGTAACCAATGACCCCCGCCTGTTTATTTGGAAGGAATATAAAATAAGGGTTCAAAAAAGCGAGTCTGTTATGTAGGGTATTCTTTTGCTGAATGTCGTTAAGAATATCACACCAAATTTTCAATGTCTTTAACGAAATATTTTTGCATTCAAGCTGCTTTTTAGTTGGATGTACAACTTAGGGGCCGTTTGAGCTCATTATTTGTAGATTATAATGAGATGAATAGTATTTTTTTGAAAAATGAGTGGTTGAAAAGTTTTTTATTTACATTTAATATTATTTTATTGAAAATTGTGTGATTAAAAGTAAGAGAGAGAAAAATTTAATTTAATATAATGAGAAATAATGGGGGTCAAATGGGGGCTTAAATATCTCAAGGACAAGTTAATCCACGAATCTTCAAATTTTTGCAATTATCATGATCTGATACTAATGGATGGATCAATCATTCCACCTCCCTTAAAGTCTCAGTCTTTCATTTAGCCTAGTTGATTTGCTCATAAGGTGTAAGGGCACTATGGTTTTTGGGTATTGCGATCATGAAATTTATTTCGATTTTTCTACATGTACGTAATGCTTTATATATAAATGATACGATGAGTTATGATTATTTTTTCAACCAAATAAAAAAAAATTCTCCGCTCTTTTTTAGATGCATCATCTATATATATAACTCCATTATATACAAGTAAAATTATTCATTTTACTTTATAGGAGGATTGGTGCACCATTGAGACGCCAAGTATAATTGTCTCGTGGGAGGTTAAAGCAAAGCTTCATAGTCAATTGCTTAGAGCATCTCCAATACAAGGCAAATGTTAAAAGTGTACCGTGTCAGTCACCCTAAATACTTATACGTCAATGAAAAAGGTTAATGATGTTTAACAGACCCTCCACATGTGGAGAATGTCCTTTTATTTTTCAAAATTTATCTTGGCTACTGGACTAATCCTCTCTTGCACCTAAAACTCACAACCCAATTAGAAATGCGCTCTCACTTTTTCAATTTGCTTGCCACACGACACCAATGCAGTTTTCTTTGGCCCCCATTTTTCTACATTAAAATGAGAAATTTTTGAAGAATGTGTGACTAGAAAGGAAAAAAAATTGAATTTACGTGTAATATTATTTTATTAAAAAATGTATAATTGATAAGAAGATGGAGAGAAATGAATTATAATTTAATGGGAATTAATGAGAACCAAACAGGGGTTAATATCTCAAAAAAATATTCTTTAATCAATCATATTTGGTTACATTGCCTTGGACGATTTTTTGACAATGTCATTTGACAAATTCAGGAAAAAAAAATAATAATAATAATAATAATAAAATAATAAATTGTCTTTTCATCCAATAATTTTTTGCCAACACATTTATTTTTAGTCAAGAAGGTGGTAGAAGACAATTTACAAGCAGCAAAATCCTTCTTTAATACCCTAAACTCTCTGAACCGTTGGTTGTGTTTTGATTTCCAAACACCACGTTAACAAAAGCTAAATTACAATTTGTAACCACAAAGACCTTAAATAAGGAGTAGGGTCATAATTGGGTGGTCCCAACAAATATTATAAAATATGTAAAAGCAAATCACATCATTGTACGACTTGACATCTACCCTCTCCGTATCCTTATTCAATTATTGCTGACACTTTTGCTAAAAAAATTCACAAGCCACAACAAAAATGAGCTGTGCTTCTTTCACGGAAAGAAGATTTACAGAAATTTTACATACAAAACAGAAATGCATGGAGCTTGTAATTTATTATCAATTTTTCATACATGGGTGGAACTCGATCTCCTCTCTCTCTTCCGGCTTCATTCTGTGATCAATTAATCTGTAAAATCAGATTAATTGAACAAAAATCTACCAAAATCAACAAAACTTTCATGATAGTACATGTAACTCAATTTGAATTTTTTTAAGTTTTAATTAAAAATATAAAGTACACAAGTTGAGCAGTCATATTTTATTCCAATAGACCAGGTGCACGCGTACCTGACCTGCAGAATATTGTGCAAACATCTATTACGAGGTTGCATCTATCGAGACAATTCGTCACCATGTGATATCCTGCACAATCTCTCTACCCATTCCTTTCCTTTGCCCCCACAAATTCGGAAAATAGTACAATTACACTAGCGCAAGTGCATCTTTACTGTTCTTTAATCCTTCATATTTTGGTGGGGGTGCACCATGCTCGTGAGCATGTTGATTACTCCCGTGATCCTTTAGGATAACAAATTTGTGATTTCAATGACTGTTTACATGTTTGAAGCGGCCACAAGTCACGCCAAATAGACCGTCGAGCTTGATGATGCAGCAATGGATTCTTACTCTACGTGACAACAACGCGATCAAAGGATCCCTCTGTACCCTTGTAATTCGTTGCTCGACAATTGTCAATTTCAATCCGCTTGCCCCTCCTTAGTGGAATGTAAATTATTCGACCCCGGCCGCTGCCAAGTTCAGCTCGAGGCTTTTCTACTTCTTCATAGTCTTCTTTTTCTACAACATCAATTCCAGTAATAGAATCAGAGCCGGATCTGAGGAGAGGCACAAGAGGCCTCTCTCAAGCCCAGCATATTGGGGCGCCCAATAAAAAGGTGATCCCTAAATTTTAAAACCCATCTTCAACACTCAATTATTCATCTTCCTCCACAATCCACGATCGGCACTACAGACTTGAACTGGAAGTACTCAACTTCTCCTATACAAAATCTGACCGGCGAGGGTCGACGACAATCACGACATCCTCTAGCGGCGGTCTATTTTCGGAATTGTTTGTATTTGGTAAGTCGTTTATGATTTATTTTCCCCCAATAGCATTTAGATGACCTCCGCCGCTCTGCCCCCGAAAAGGAGTGTTGTGTTCTCAGCCACAAGATAGAATGGAACAACCTAATCAAGGCACAATGTTTTGGGGCTATATACTTCTTCCTATGATGTGAACAGAAAATAGAAAATTAGGCAAGCCGCAAGCTTATCCTTTATTTGGGATTAATTCCTTGAAACTTTTCTTAAAATTAGTTTGAAATATCTAAAAGCATCTTTCACACCTTCTATAATCAGATTACTAAACTTTAATTGACTGCATTCGGATCTTTAACTTCAATTTAATAGTGCAATAGAAATAGAACTTGATGAGGTGGACATCAAAACTAACACATGCGCACAACACACATGACAATCTTCAATTTGGCCCTATCCCATATATGAATTTGTTATGCATATTTTGAAGTGATCTTTAGAATATTTTCACATTGTCATTTGATTATAATTACATAATAAATATTTCATTTTCTTCGTTTTATTTTTTGATTTTAAGTTAACAAATTTAGTTCCTTAAATATCTTATAAATGAAAAAAAAAAATTTATTACTTCTTACTACTTATGGGCGCAAAAATTTATGTTCGTCTCGGGCCTCACAAAACGTAGGTCCGGCCCTGAATGGAATCACATGACAATGCTAGATGATCCTCATATTCGTCATCCTCAGCAAAAGCTTTGGTCGTGAATTGGCTCTCTGACATAAAATTCAACACTAAGAACATGTTTGGGATGCTTAAATTCAACATTAAGTGATTATAAATTGTGAGTTAGATAAAATGAGTGGATAAAAAGTATATTTGATTGACTCAAAATTATAATTTAAGCTTGGCCAAATATGCACTAAATTTATGTTTAGCCTAGCCCAACAAAAGTAACCATACGGCAAACATGTTTGAGCTCTTTTAGAAGCGACATTTTGGGGAGATTTTTATTTCAAAAAATCAATCTTCACTTTCCAGAAAAAGTAGTTCTGCACTTTTTAGGATTAGGCAAACACATTCTAATAAATTTCAAAAAATACACTGCAGAAATTTTCTAAATTAAAACGGTTAAATACCAGTGTCAATGTCCAGATCTTCTGGTATTCTTTTAGCATGTATCTCCTTCAATGTTGAAACTTCGTACCATCAAGTGGCCAAGGTCCTCTGCTCAAAATAACAAATTATTTTCTCAACAAGATATTCATGCCTTGACTAACATTAAGTTAAAGAAAACTGACAGTTTTAAGTATTTAAGTGAAATTAAGAATCGAGCAAATTATTAGAATTGTATAGGACGCAGAAAGAAGGCAAATAAACCGACAAATTGAAATACTCGCCTTGGGCGTGTTCCTCGTCTCAAAACAATGTAAGAGAACTTTTCATTTTCAAAGCCACGTAAAGAATTATCCTTGGATTGCTAAGAAAAATTAACAATAAGCAAGATTAGTTATTCATCCTGTCCTCATGAAAAGGAAAGAAAGGTTCTAATTATAAATATGATCGAAGGTTAAGCCACATCAAGGACCCTTGAATGAAATAAAAAGGAGAAAAGGACCATTGGATAGCTCTTTAAAAAAAATAAAAATAATAATAAAAAAAATAAAATGAACATGTGAAAAACTAACTAATGGCTGGTTCAAACATGAGAACATTTCTAGGTGAAGTTCGCTAACTTGATTTACACAACTGGAGTAAAAGGATAGCTAAATCTCAACTATTTTCTAAAGGAAAATTTTCAATACACATATTACAGAAAGAAAAAAAAATTTCAATATTAAAATTTTTGAATAAGGAGAATCGGTCCACGAGATGTAGACATCAGAAAGATAAATGAATCAAGTTGTAAAATAGGTTTTGGCCTCATTACATGGAGAGCTAGTGAACTACCATATAACAACAATTCATAATTCACGAGTGTAAAAATAATAAAAAATCAAATCATGCAAATATCCAGAGAAGACACGCTGTGGCAATGATAACTAACACAGTTCACAGTTTTGCAGGTGTGCTTGATGAAAAGATGGAAAAATTACTAATTTACTTGAAATATACTGATTAGGATTCATCACTATGAGAAACAATATGGAGCATTCGATACATAGCAGCCATCCTATAACAACCAAAAAATTTAAAATAAAATAAAATAAAATAAAAAGGCATGCTCTTGTGCTTAAATGTGCTCAAAGAACTGAGAATGTGAATATGTGTTTGTGTATGCACACTCACATGTCATCTTATAAACACTTGTGGAGGACAATGGCTAAATCTATAGGACATACATGAACACATATTTCACAAGCAATGCATTGAAAAGGCATTAATTTAAAGAAAAAAAACTAAGTACCATATTTCACTTTGATGTGGAAACGCAACAATAACAATGAAAATGGCACCCTCTTTAGTGAGATTATATGAGCAAATGCCCGAACCAAAATATGTTATTGCTATGGGAGCCTATACAATTACAGGAGGAATGTTCAATACCGATTCATTTGTCTAATCACACCATATTTCACTCCCACGGTGGGAGACAGAGAGAGACAGAGAACCTTGTATGCTCGCTGTGATGATGTCCTCTCAAGCGTTGAACAAAATGACAGTACTTGTCTGTGTTCTGCAGCGGGCGAGCTCCATCATGAGGACACTGCAACAACAAAAATTACAAATGGCACGCCATTTTTGGGCATCATCAAATTCTTATAAGAGTGGTTGGTGATGCAAAGACACATTTATTCAAAGCAATCCAGTTTATGAAATAAAGATCCATCAACTTACCGGAGCAACTACAAACGCACCAGTTTTGCGTGTCATCAAATCATTAGAGGCCTTATTAGCTGCATTTTTTAATTTACGGCTTCTCTGAGAAGTGATACAAATACATTTTATAGACTCTCAAAAATACAACTATAATAATGTAAAACCTGATATGAAAGAACTGACCCTCTTCTCCATCTGTTGGGTTTTTTTGATACCCAATAAATCCCGAGTTATGATGTTAACGTGGGTTAATATTATTTCATAGGCATAGGCCGATGAATGAAATAAGTCCAACAACCAAGTCCATGAACTACACCCGGTCCAATTGTATTTCTTATGGATGGCTTGAATCTTGGCTCGTTTACCCCTTTAATGGCCCAACTTAAAGCCTAACCCTAGAGCATATATTTGGCTATAACCCTAGCCACTTTAATATGATGATTGTGTGATTTTGAGAGAAGAAACAAGAGAATCCCGGCTGCCCCCCTTTGTGTGAGAAAAAAAGTGTCCAGAAGTGTCCAGAACGCTAGTATAACGTGTGCAATTGGTGATTCTTTCATAGTATACCTTTGTGGTGTCTTTTCTTAGCCTTTGTGGCGACAAATCATCATCCTTTCTTGTCCTACGTGGGTAAGATTGAATAGCAACCAGGGTAAATCAATTGGTTGTGGTTTGGAGCCGTTTGGATTGGTTGTTGGTAGAGAAAGGTACGTTGGACTGAGCCTGAAAAACCACCGTTTGAAGATCCTTTTGAGAGAGCTTTCGCAACACCATCCATAAGATATGTGATCGCATTTGAGATATGATATTTGATCCTTGTGGTGTTCCAGGTTCAACCAAAACCTGTTCCAAATAGAAATTTAAATTTGGATAAGAAAATGGAAAGCAAAAAACCGCCAATTTACCTTTCTTCAAAAGAACAATTGTGCTTACACTTCTTTCATTTTTTACTATGAGAGTCATCAAAGAGAACTTCAAAAGTAACTGAAACAATAATAGTTCCTAACTCTTACTGTGTTTATAATAATGCCTCGAAAAAGTTATTGTGCATGGCAAGATTACAGATTGTGAATCATACATTGTAATACAAGTGTGAATAGAAGGTAAGACTTTTCTATATTTGATTTTGATAAAATGAAGCCTGTCACCAGATTCTGTGAATGTTAACCACAGACTTTAAGAGAGAATTATTTTGGGGATTGGCAGGTTATATGGCTTCAGTTAAAAGAGAGGCTCCAACATGTCAAATAATTGCCGTATGCATCCAAACAGTGGCGGATCCAGCACCCGCGGCCACGCGTGCTAGATCCGCCCGGGACCTTCAGTTGCCGCCGAGATCGCCAGGTTGCAGGCGCAGGTAGTTGCTAAGTTGCAGAATGCTAAGACAAAGGTTGAAGGGGAAGAAAGAAGAAGATTTCCATTTTCTTATCATCGGGGCTTGGGCTGGTGACCTGGGCCTTTTTTGTTTAAAAAAAAAAAAAATTTTGGCCCAATAGAGGAAATCATTGGTCCGGCATCCATGGTATTAATTTCCCCCCAACCCAAACTCCAAATCCCTATTCCCCAACATTTGAAACCGGCAGCAAGCAAAGACGAAGTGCAAACCCTTCCTTCCAATTCCATATTTCCATTCCAAGCAGAAGTAGTAGCCGCGGCGCCTACGAACGAAATGGGTGGGAAGTACGAGTGCGACTGTGCGAGCAGTTGTGAATGGTGGACCGTGTGCGAACTGGTGAGATTGTGCGAAGTCAGGGGCAATCGAGGCCGAGCAAGCTGCGTGGGTGAGTTGAATACTCGAATTTTTTTGGTAGAATGTTGAATTCTTTTTGTTGCAAACCCTTTGTTGACTGTTGAATTGTTGTCTGTTGATTTGTTGAGTGGAGTATGTTGACTGTTGAGTGTCTATTGATAATTGATTTGAGTATTGTTTGTGCTTTGATGCAAATATGCAATGATGTATTTTGTGTTTTATTTATACTTATTATTTATTAATCAGTTAGTGAATCAATCTTCAATTCACATAGAAAAGCAAATTAGGAGTTATTATTGAGAATTGTGATTTTTAATCAATTCTAATTGAAAATTAAATTGGAGTATTTTACAGAATGTTGAACAATTTTTTATTGTATTTAATCAAATTTTAATAAACGATCGAGCTATTACGATTGTTGATTGTCAATAACGGTCAAAGTCAATCACCGCCCTAGTTGAAAATTGAATCTAGATCCGCCCTTGCATCCAAACAATTAACTTTGATGTCATATATTGCTGATATATACCTGATAATATTTTTATTGTTTCCAATGTTAATATTTCTAACAATATTTTCAATTTTTTGTAATTCTGAGTCTTCAAAAGCAAGAACATTTAAAAGTCCTAGTTCATTAATGGTTTCATAAATGTTTTCAAGGTTTTTCCTAAAATTTGCCATATCAACCTAAAAAGTTAATATCAAAATTTCCTTCAAGATTTCTGTTCGCGAAATTATTTTCTTTCGATTTAAAACCATCGCAAGTGTACGGTTCGTTGACAAGTAATAAAGTGGATTAAATGAGTCCGAATATCGTCCCACAGAGATTGATTAATTCAAATTTTACCTACCGTAGCCTTAACCGAAACTAAATTAAAGTGAATGTAAACCTAATTAAACCCCAATTATGCATTTTTTTATGATTAAATTGAAATTAATATGCAAAACAATAATTTAAAACTCTAGAATGAAATCAATTGTTGAGAACGCACGTTTGTTGTAATCAATAGAAATTAAACATACTAGGATCATGATTTCCCATGCAATTATCACTTTAAACTCTAGTTTCAAAATATGACAACATAATTCAATTGTTGACGAATCAATGTTCCTAAGTCTATCCAATACTCTCTCTCGAGATATATCAAACCTATTTCTACATACCACCGGCCTATATTTCTATGACAAGTGCATATGTAAAAATGCATGTAGTTTTATGAAACACTTAAAGATTCACGCATGACATAGCGGTATATTTCTATCCCCTATCGGACCCTACGATGATTTATATTATGTCGAATCTATTCCAATTCTCTCGAATACAAGAATAAATCACCCAAACTCACACAATTATGGGCCCTTAATTACAGAAACAATAAATGCATATAAATCATTCAAAACAAAAGAAATATGTTTTAATGTCAAATTGCAAAACTAGAAAATTAAAGATCCAACTACATGGTGCATAAATCTAGCCTATCATAATGGGAAATAAAGAAAAACAATAATTAAAATCAAGGAAGAACATCACCCAATTGATTCTTGAAGTGAAATCTTGAATCTTGAAGTGGATTGCCTTGTTTTTGCCTTGTTCTTCCTCTCCAAATCCTCCAAAATTGTGTATATTCCCCCCTCTTTATGTTTCAGGGTCGTCTGGTACTTATTGGAGGCGGAATTAGGTCAAGGAAGTCGCCCAAAACCTTACTAAATCGTATTTGAGTCGAATAAGGAAACTTGAGATTTCGTCACATTTTTATACCATGCGACCGCATGGTAGAAAGCCATGCTACCGTATGGTTCAGAAGTTTCAGCCCAGATTTTTCCCTGTACTGCCTTGTGCGACCGCAAGGAATTATAACCATGCGGCCGCATGATTATAGAAATTTTTCCGTCGAACAGTTTTTAGTATTTTGGTCATAAATTTTTCTCTCGATCTCTGATTGAAGTGATTCAAAGTGAATTAGGAAGAAAACTCAAAGATCTACACTTTTAATAGAAATAGGCTTCCTCAAATTCTGATTTTTACTATGCCAAAAATGGATCTCAAGTAAAGACTAAAAATCACGAGCATAACTTTTTTGCATGAAAGTTGATACTTGATAATACTTCGACCATATTTCACCTCTTGACTCCTTTCCTCATCCGATTGACCTCTAACACTCTTGAGTCTTCATTCCATTTCCCGTCTCATTTATGAATTATTTGCAACTTGGTCCCCGAACTATCACTTTGCTCCATTTTAGTCTTTTTTCGGCTCTTTTCTTCTGAATTTCACCATGTTCATCGGTGTTCCCTACAATTCACAAATCTAACGAGATTAAATCACAATTCAATCATTTTGCTCATTATTAAGTCATGTTTGTGACCTAAATAAGTGTGGAAAAACACACTTATCAAACCCCCCAAACTTGAACTATTGTTTGTCCTCAAATAAGATAGTGACTTAATTCTAAACAAACATGACTTAATACCCTGCTGTGGCTCAGGATTGGACTAAGTATTTGACTTTATGAAAATTTATCAGTGCAAAAATGACATCAACCTTTACCTGTTAAATGCAAATCGACGTGTGAGTATGTGTGAATTCATGCCAACATATCAGGTTCATACTGAATTTGAGTCCCGATCCCAAGTGGTCAAATGTATCCTTGCTCACTCGAGAGATACACAACCCCCCAAACTTATTATTTTCACTCAATTATCCCGGGATTGTGTTTTAAAATTAGGAATTTACATAGCTGTAGTCCTTACCCTCTTGTAGTTTGGATTAATCTCACTATCACAAGTTTACATTTCAATAAGTGAAGGCTCTCCTAAGTTTGATTGCTTCGACACTCAAGATTAAACTAGGTTACTTGCCTCGCCTTAAAGGTATAGTTTCTTCAACCAAATGTACAAGGGCTTTTCTTCATGTTATTGCCTCTCTTTTGTTTTTCTAGCTTTTCTCTAATTTTTCTAATTTTTTTTAATATCATTATCATCTTCTCATTTGCTTTCTATATAACCCCTTTAGCGAGCTTTAGGCCGGTCACTCCCAAACCAGTTGGTTTTAGGGCACCAGGTTTTAAACCCTTGCAAGCTTATTCACTCGAGTTATAAAGGCTCGATTAGATGACTTTTTATTAACCTCTTTCCCTCTTGCTTGCTATATGACCCCTTTAGCGAGCTTTAGGCCGATGACTCCCAGGCCAGTTGACCTTAGGGCACCAAATTTTGAAATATCCTTACAGGCTTACTTGCTCGGGCCATAAAGGCATGAAAAGAAGTGTCTTATTCTCACAAATTAATTTTATGCCCTTATTGTTCTAGACATTTAGTTTCCAAAACCAACCCCTAATTTAAGATTTTCACCTAGTCTTCACCTCACTGGTCTAGGCAATCCACACAATAAAACTTCATGCACGGAGCCCCCCGCTTATCTCAATGTTCCCTATAATAGCTCAACCAATTCCAAACTGTCGTAAGGTGGTTTACGTGTTAATTCAATAGAGGGTTATCATTCTTTTTCTACTTTATGCTCAAAATCCAGTCATTCACCTAACATGTCAAGCATGAATAGCGTGCATAGATAATGTCAAGTATTGCATCACAAGTATTGGTTAATCTATTCAGCACTATATCCAAAGTTTATGAATTATACCAGTCCAATAGTCACATCATAGCTAGCAAGGCTATCAAGCCCACACAAGCATGCAAGAATGGAAATTTAACAAACTGAATAAAAGGTAAAGAATTTATTTTTTTAAAATCCTCGACAGGCACACGAATTGCAACAATTAAACATAGTTATTAATGAATATAGCCAAAATGATGAAATTATGTTCGTGTCCAAGATTATGTCACCCACCCCCAAACATAGATAATACATTGTCCTCAATGTGAAGATGAAATAAAAGTGTAAACAGACATAATTGAAGGACAATAATAAACTTAAGCGCAAGATGGAGTACGAGTACTCCCCTGCTCAAGATGGAGGTGGTTAATGAAAATTGGGACAAGCAGTACTGTCTCTTGGTGGTGGAGCTGTGACGTTCTTTTTGACGGCATCCTGTAAAAGTGTAAAGTATCCGTATTAGGCCACCTACTGTAAACAGATGCAACTGAGACAAGAAATTACCTATGTAGTGCACAAATCCCCCAAACTTGCATCAATGTACACATTGTTGGTGTGCAGAATGCATAATTTATGTCTATACATAGGGTTTATATCATAAAAATGTGAATTATCAACGAAATTTCACTCAAAACATGCACTTTGTTCAATTTAATACATGACTAACTAAAATAGGACTTCAACCTCATGACTCATGCTCGGTGCATTGGAACTCGTGTGGACCATGCCTAGACGCTATGTGATAGGGATGTATGATCGATGACCTAAAACTATTGATAATGCAAGAAAAATGAAAATTTCCTAAACTATTGCAAAACGAAGTAAATGAAAGGATAGAGACGTTGGGTTGCCTCCCAACCAGCGCTATTTTATAGTCGATAGCTCGATTTTTGGCACAGGTATTTTATGGCACTTTAAATATGGCTTGGGAGGTCCTGCATAGTTTGCTCAATATGGTCTTGTTCCGCACTGCAGTTATCCTCCGAATTTCATCCCTGTCTTTCTCGAAGTGATTTGTCATTCTCTCCTCATCCGTATGAAATCCCACATCGAATGCCTTAATCTCCTTTGAATAGATAAGAACGGATGGAGAGTGTACTATATAGGCCTCATGAATGTTTGGCTGTTTCTTCAACTCAAAATTATGGGGGATTCCTATGTCAAGCACTTCAATCTGGAAATAGCTTTCAGGCTCGTTGGGGTATTTCATTGCCTTGAAAACATTAAAAGAGACTTGTTCCTTCCCCAGCCTCAAAGTTAATTGTCCTCGCTGCACATCTATGAGGGCTCTTGCAGTAGCTAAAAATGGTCGTCCCAATATGATAGGCACGTCCTTGTCTTCTTCCATATCCAAAATCAAGAAGTCTGCTGGGAATATGAGTTTATCCACTTTGACCAATACATCTTCAATAATTCCTCGTGGATGTGTAAGTGATCGATCAGCTAGCTGTAGAGTTATTGTGGTTGCCTTAGGCTCTCCCAATCCTAGTTTCCTGAAAATAGAGAGTGGCATCAAGTTAATACTCGCACCGAGATCACATAATGCTTTATCAAAATAAAAATCACCAATTGTGCAAGGTATAGTGAAACTCCCTGGATCTTTCAGTTTTGGTGGGAGCTTTTTCTGGATTCTAGCACTGCATTCCTCTGTAAGCATTACTGTCTCATGGTCCTCCAGCTT